ATAATTTTTGACGAGCGCTGGGTTTTTAATTTTTTCCCGCGAAAGATGAGATTTATTAATGTTTCAACAGCTTTTTGCGAGTAAACATCACAGGTTGCGCGACTCAAAATTTGGCCGAGTGGAAGCTTGGGTCTGCTCGCACAGAAGTCGAAAAAAAAAACCACGGGTAAACCATGAACCGCGCTCGGCCCATGGCTGCGCGGTTAATTATATTTATATTTGCCATGTTTACTATGATCTAAATATATGTACATGTACAATGTAAGTAAAACTCTACTGCACTTCAATAAACAGGGCTAGCAAAAGACTTTAATTCCAGCTCACCCTTTGGATAAGCAGCTCCCAAATTTTGCTTGCCCTGGTCAAGTCTAAGTTAATTTTTTTTTATTTAGTTTGCAGACAACTTGCCTGTGCCCTTGCCCATCAGGAAAGTGAGAATGAAAAGTTACTTGTCTGGCAGGAAAATCTACTTGTTCCAGATGACCAGACTGCATTGTTTTTGAGCCCTATTCATTGAATGTTAATTCTAGGAAAACCTGAAGCTTTCCACTGAATATTGTCAGGGTTTCATTAAGGAAGTGAAATAGAGAGAATGTTGTACATGAAAGGACTGTGAATACTTTAAACTTACTCGCTCAACAGCCATGAGCTCAAGAGTTCTCCATCGCTCTCATCCAAAAGCAATTTGCATTCCTCCACAGCATTGGTAAAAGCTCCTTCCTGAAATATAATAATTAATAAATAAATTATCTTTAAAAACACAACAACGCTTTTCAGTTTTCGGAACATGTTTTGATGTTTCAACCATCATCATCAGCCATTATGAATGTACAGAAAAGATTTACAAAATGATCGGTGTATATAAAGTGTATAACTACTGTACTCATATACAATGAACCTTTATGAATTAAAATATTTGTTACCTGTTAAACTTATTTAAATTAACCAATAGAATGAAACACAAACAAGAAAAAATAATCTAAAACTCCCTGTAAACAACAGTAGATAAATTTAGAAATGCAACGTTAGATTAACATGTTCAACTTGTTTGTTGAGTTCAGGTTTCAACTGTTTAATATGAAAACTCTCTTTTATTTTAAGTTGAGAGTGCTGGCATGATCGAAAATCTTAAAACAAGAAATGTAACACTTATCCCTACAACCTTTAGAAGCACTGAGATGTTTAAAAATGTGGGAATTTTTGACCCGAAAGAGATGCTCATTAACACGTGTGTTAAAATGCCTATTGGTTTCACCAATATAACGAGCTCCACAGCTCGCACATGTAAACTGATAAACAACAACTGATTTAAGAGAATCAGGAACAAAATATTTATTACCTTCACCTTGGAAGGTAATAAAAGATCAGTTACAGTGAATACCACAAACTACATGTATAAAATAGTCTGTTGTGGTAAAAATTCAGACAGGTTAGTGGCCATCAGTGGTTGATTTTCTGGGGCATGAAATGTTTTTGTGGACAATAGCTTATGCAAGAATTTCTTTTGCCATCAAAAATCATGAATTTTCATTGGAAATTGTCCAACCACCCCTCCCCTTCCCAAAAGAATAATGATCCGTCCCTTAAAAAGAGTGAAAAAATAGACAATAGTAAGAGCATCTGGAAGTCACAATATGAAGATCGAATGCAGTGAGTATTAATAAAGTGCAAGAATTCACATGCAAACAGTAACAAATTCCAGCTAGCCAATCATGTTTATCTAACAAAACAAGATCATGTAAAATTTGGAAGAATCTATTTTAAGGGCCTGTTTACAAGGAGGGAGGGTTTACAAGCAAAATTTTACAGTAGGGTAACCTTACAACCCGGGACAACTTAATGCATGGTTACACTCAAAGGGTCTGGAAACAATTAGAAAGTTAACCCGGTTAGGTGGGTTAACCCTACCTGGAGTGTTTACAAGGGAAAAAGTTAACACGCCTGCCAGGAAAACCCTAGCACGCAGATAGGGTAAACCGCCTACCCGGGTAACCCTAGCTGCCTTGTAAACATGATGAAGAAAAAATGAGGAAATGTGTGAGTGCTAGCGTAACCTGCTTGCTAGGGTAACCCTCTCTCTCCTTGTAAACAGGCCCTAAGAGAACAGAATGCAACCCTTATTTTCCCAGATGCTGTGCATGTACATGTAGGGACAGCCAAGCATAAAACAAAGTAAAAAAAAATTTCACCACGTTTGAACTATGAAAACTAATTTACAACTGTGCATGAGAAGACAGCTAAATACAATTGTAAGTGAAGAATGATCATCGCAGTAAATTTTCCAATTTAAGCAATTGGAAAGAAGAAGCCTGAAAAAATTAGGGCTTCAATGGGATT